TTTCGAGAAATTTTCGAATAATAACGTGGAATTTCAGTGAAATTTCAAAAAATTCTCATAAAATTTTAGGAAATGTCAGTGAAATTTCGAATTTTTTTTTGAAAATTTTGTTGAGTTCCAGGATATTTCAATGGTGAAGCTCAAAACTTTTGAAGTTTTATTGGAATTTCGAGAAATTTTCGAATAATAACGTGGAATTTCAGTAAAGTTTTAAAAAAATTATTGAACTTGGAATTTATATAGAATTTTGACGAATTTCAGTGGGATTCGAAAAAAAAAAAATTATGAAATATTCGCAGAATTTCCATCAAATTATGTATAATTTCACTTTGTATCGACTTACATAAAATTTCGATGAAATGTCGAGTAAAATTCCAAAGAATACTCATCGAATTACATACGTGGAATTCCTTGAAATCTTATTGTGGAATTCCAGTGAAATAACATGGAATCCGAAAAATTCCCTTGGAATTAAACAGAATTTCCGTGGAATTTCCATGGAAGCACGAGAAATTTCGACGGAATTCCGAAGAAATGAATTAAATTTTAGTGAAATTCTAAGTAATTTCTGTCGAATTACATAAGATTTTAGTGGAATTCCAAGAAATTTCATGAAATCTTTTATAGTAATTCCGAGGAATTTTTGTACAAGAATTTCATTGAATTTTATGGTAGAATTCCATGGAATCTTATGGTGAAATTCGGAAAAGTATTATGAAATCTTATGGTAAAATTTCTAAGACCCTTTTAACTTCCCTAAAATGAATGCTTTAAAATCACCTAAAATCATTTAAAATCCTGTAAAATCATATGAAGATTTTCAAAATCCTCGAAATCCTACAAAATCAATGAAGATCTAAAATCTATGTACATATTTTAAGGAGTTAACCACCCCTCGACTATTGATAGACAATTTTTAATAAGTAGGAATTTGATAACATTTCAAAGTGATCATTGTAAGATACTCAATGGCGTTGCAAAATGAAGGGCAACTGTGTACGTTATCTAACACTTGCATACAGATAATTCGACTAACATATCAGGTATGGGAAACTAATCAGAAGTGTATTGTGTGTCGTAATTAACTATGGAAATTGAGCTTCAACTTTTGTACTTTTAGCGAGTAGCATGAAAATTATGTCAAAGTTAAAAATCAGTTTTACCATTTTCTTGCCGCCAGGACACCAATTAACTTTTATTTTTCAAAAAACCGCGGCTTTGAAATATTAAGCCTTCTCGAAATAAACGAATCCAGCCTATTGCAGGACTCCATCTGATGTCTAACATACCAGCTCTATTATTCTTCAGTTGGTTGATAGCTTTTTCAACCTCTTTTGGGAAGTATGGTTTTGGGTTGGTTTTTGAAAGACTTTGTTGAAGAGGTCGTCATCCATGTGCCTCCTAGTCGGAGGTTCCTGAAAATGCTTCTTCCATCAGGAGCTGATAGAACCTGAATCTTTGAGAATCTGAGTCCCATCTCTAGTTCGTAAGTGTTCTGTTCCTTTGTGATAAAGCTCGTTGATTTTCGGTAGGATGACAGCATTAACTAGTGCTTTTTAATATTTTCGAGATATTCATCAACTAGGCTATCATTCAATAATAGGAACTGGGAGGTTGTTTTGATATCTTCATTTTCAAATATCTCCATATTCAACGGTCGTTGTGGTTGTTTCTTCTGTTTCCATCGACATTTCAGTTTTTGAAAAAAACAGTGATTATAGTGAGTAAGACAAAGGAGGAGATACAATAGGCTACATTTTGCAAATACCATTATAAATGAGTAAGACAAAGAAAGAGATAAAGTAGGATACAAATCAAGTACTTATGGCCGTTTCCACCAACTATTTTAGGGGAGCCCTAACGATAAGTATTCCCTAAAATGACATTTTTACATGGGGAAATGTCAGTTTAGGGCATACCTATCACTAGGGCGCCCCTAAAATAGTTGGTGGAATTGGCCATTAGTCTGTCTAAAAAGTTGCAAAAAAAGACGCAAATTCAAAGCCCCGTACTTAGAAACTCCTTTTTCCGATTAAAAAGACCACGGAAAAGCGGAAAATCCAGAGAAAAACCAACGAAAATCCAAAGACAAACCAACGAAAATGATATTCCAAAGTCTACTTGATAAAACTAATGGCATAGAATGCTTTTCTGACTTACCCCATTTGAAAACTGGAATTTTTTGGCAGAAAATGACGCAAATCCAAAACTCCGCACTTAGAACCACTTTTCCCGCTGGAAAATAAATAAAGTAGGATACAATTTAAGTGCCTGGTCTGGTCTGTCTAAAAGTAGCAGAAAAAGAGGCGAATTCAAAGCCCCGCTCTTAGAACCACTTTTTTCCCATCAAAGAGGCCCTGAGAAAGCGGAAAATCCAAAGAAAATCCAACGAGAATAACATTCCAAAGCCTACTCAATAAAACTTAAATTTTCGTTACTTACTCCATTGAAATGTGAAAATTTTTAACAGAAAATGACGCAAATTTGAAGCCCCGCACTTTAAAACCACTTTTTCCGCAGGAAAAGTCCCGGAAAACTCGAAAATTCGAGGACAAAAACGAAAACGCGTCACTCAAAATGACCTACTGTCAAATGTCACTTTGTCAAAACTTTGGTTAGGCAGTCAGGCTTTTTAAATGACATTCTAAGGCCTGCTCGGTTGAAACCCGAATGAAGTTAGCTTCAAGCGGTGTTGCTACCTGCCAGCTGAATAAAATCATTTTAAATGGGTAATTTAATGAAAAAGCCGTTAAATAATTAATTGAAAATTATTTTAAAACTTAAAATTCCCCAAAAAAGGCCTCGAAAAGTTGTTTATCAATAAATTTGTTTCACGTACCCTTCGCCCTCAATTTTAACATTTTTTGAAAGCTGGAATTTTTTGCAGAAAATGAATAAAATCCAAAGCTCCTCACTTTAAATCAGTTTTCCTGACTGAAAAGGCCCTGGCAAAGCGGAAAATCCGAAGAAAAATGGATAAAAACACTCAAAATGGCCGACTGTCAAAAGTGACAAATAACAAATATGATATTTATTACAAGGCTTACTTGATTGAAAGCGATGTTGCAGTTATTCCTCATTTTCCGATGAATTTGCAGCCTGGAAAAGTAACAAGTAATTTCCATTTCCAAGGTCACTGATTGTATTTTTGGAAAAAACAGTGATTTAGTGATTATAGTGGGTAAGACAAAGAAGGAGATAAAATAGGATACATTTGCAAAATCAGTAAATGTGATTTTAAATTAGTAAGACAAAGAGAGATATAAAATAGGACATAATTCAAATGCTTGGTCTGTCTAAAAGTGGCAGAAAAAGATGCAAATTCAAAGCGCCGCACTAAAACCACCTGGGCCCTGGAAAAGCAGAAAATCCAAAGAAAAACCAACAAAAATGACTTTCCAAAGCCCACAGAGAGCCGACCATCTGATGTTCAGTCCAGCAGTCATCAACGTAGATCGTGGATTATAACTCTGGCTACTTTGACATAACGTTGATCTTCACCTCAGAGAAGAAAGATTAGAGTTGTCCGAGAAAGGAGTTAAAAAACTTCCTTGAAGGCAGATTTTGATAAATTTGTGGAATAAGTGATGACATGGTGAAATTCGAAACCTCTCAGAGTAGGTATTTCTAGAGTAGAGGAATCCATGCACACAAATGCCTACATCTCGGAACAATTCCAGAAGAGATGATTCCAGCCTCAAACTGATTTATAAATAATGTGTAGAACTTCCACTGTGTGGCTGTCCAACTGTCTCCGAAGCTTGGATGTCTAGTCTTTAGAACCTACCTATGGTACCTACTGCTAATGGCAAAAGTTTAGGAAATGTATCAAGATTCAAAACATCTTGGAGTCAATTCCATGAGAGATTCTAGCCTCAAATTGCACTGAAAGGAAATTAACCATTTGTCAGAGATAAGGAGCAACCACGGTGCGATTAAAGAACTACCCCTAAGTAATAATCTAATATGCTTATAGACTTGATCAGAGCAAAACTGAGTGAAATCCAAAAATATTTCTTCAGCATTCTCTGAAAAAGCGATTCCAAAGATATCGTTACGAGAACAAGTGCCCTCTGTTGGGCTCATATGAGCAACAAAGACTGAAAACGAACGCTACTTTTTCATTTTGGCCTTTGTGGAATGGATGAAGGCTGGATAAAATCGAAACTCCAGGGCAAACGTATTCAGTTTCCAGTTCCCAAAAGCAGAAGAGTTGTGGGATGTCGAACTTTCTATAAGGCTTCAGATTTTCATCTCTTACAATATTGGAAATACGAAATATCTGGGGCATCCTTTGGAAAAAATCCATAAGAAAGTTATTTTTGTCTCCATCATGGTTTATCGCATTGAATAAAAAATAAGGTTAGTAGTTTCTCTCAGAAAATGACATTGCAACTAAAATAATTTCGCTTCAAATTCCGAGAATTCGATACCTAGTCGTTGTTTCTCGAGTGTCGCTTTTTGTGATTTTTATCATTGGACCGATAACTTTTCTCATTTCTAGCTCAATTTGATGAAAATTCGGTATCAGGGAAGAGGTCTTCGGTGTCCTAGATAGATAAGAATATGTATGCACCAAAGTTTATATAAATGCTTTGAGTAGCTTATAGGCTGGCTAGGTGGAATCCGAAAACATCTTAGAGCAATATCAGAACGAACAATTTCTTCGTCAAAATATCTTCAAACAAGAAAATTAAAGCTACAAGCTATCACCTGCGCTTAAAAAGTTTCCTCTGAGACTCGAGTTCATTATCTCTAGCAACTCGTCACCCAGAAATTTCGTTTATTGTCCATAACAACTGTGAAAACTTTGAAGATTCTTGAACTGATGTATGTTCATCTCATAAAAGGGAAAGGTACATTTTTTCATTCATGTTGCATGAGCATGGTTTTTTTGAATAGAAATGCATTTGAGCTCATTAGATGAGTGAAAAATATTACAAACTGCACAAAATAAACTCCATTAAACAAATATTATAATATATTTTTTTTCTTTACAGCGTCACTGCAGATTGAAGCACAGCGGCGATATCAGAGTGGTAAGCACTAAAAACGGAGAAGAAAAATTAGAAGTAGAAGAACAACTAGATGATTCAAACGACATGGACATACTACAACCTGGATCCATCAAATGCGAAATCTGCCCGTATACCACGGACAACCAAGACACGTTCCAAACCCACTTAACTGGCCACCTACCCCAACCAGACAGTGCCTTCAAATGTATATTTTGTAATTTTTCTGTAGCCGACGAAAAAGATGTATACGACCACGTGAGACTACACGAAATTAGCAATTCGACTGACGCCGATGGTAAAAAATTCCGATGCGTACTTTGTCCTTACGTAACCAACTCTAAATCGCAATATACTTATCACAAGCAATTCCATAAGGACCGTGGTGGTCAGTATACTTGCAGTCACTGCTCCTATAACGTCAGCAAAAGGCATTTGTTGCATCAACACTTGAAAGTGCACGGTATCAATGTGTCACTTTCAAAGCAAAACGGAAACTTTGTAGAAGTAGCTGATCTTGGCAATGAAGCAATAATTGATGATACTCTTGTGCCAGATTCAATAATGGATTTATCTCAGTTTGCTGACATACCTTTAGTTTGGGTTTCAAAAAATGGAAAATTTTCGAAAATGTTCAAATGCAGATATTGCCCTCATGTGAATTTACGTAAAGTTAATATACACGAACACGAAAAGATGCATACTGTTCGCGAGAAGAATCCAAATTCAAGTAGAATGAACGAAGTAGAGCATCGTTGCCCCGAATGTAGTTATCTATGCAATAACGCTGGTGTTTTATCATCTCATTCCAAAGTCCATCAAGGCTTATACGGCATAGTCCACTGCTTAGTAGATTTAACAAAATCCGACGAAGAGCAAATCAGAGAGCTAACCAAAGCATTAGGCTCAGTAGTCGAAGGTATAGATACTTCAGAGTTTTTGGAAGTTGAAATGGAAGAAGTCGACCCTTCGTCGGAAAAGGTGCTCTATTTTTGCAAAGACTGTCCAGCAAGATTTCTCAAAGAAAACGAATTCGTTATTCACAGGAATTTCCATAACTCTAATTTGCAATACAAATGCAATCTTTGCAGTTATGCCGCTGACAACGAGTCATATTTGATGTCACATTTAAAAATTCATGCTACTGAATACCAAGAGAGAAGCAACATCTTAAAAAGTTTCCACTCTACTAGCCCTAATCATCCAGAGCCTGAACTTAGGCAAAAAATCGGCGCCAATGGTGAAATCGTTTGGGGTGTAGACAACACTGGCAAAAGCGAATTGGAACAAAAAAATAATATATTAGCTTCGTTTTTGAGCAAACCTTTAAAATCAACCGTACCATTATCCGGTACTGATTTATTTCAACAACGCTCAGAAGCCCAACAAAGGCAAAATACCGAATCAGATACTTTTACTGCTGATAACCACGCACCTGCTACTAAAATTAAAACATCCGATCCTCAGTTTGGCAGCCAAATGCATGGTAATCCGGAATTTATTTATCAAACTTACATAAAAAATGGGAGAACGAAAGAAAAACGCTACAAGTGCCATAAATGTCCGAGTGCGTTCGAAAAACGCGAACAATACAAAATCCATTTGGGACTTCACGGATCACAGCAACGTTATAATTGTGATTCTTGTGATTATTCCGTGAAGTATTATGCAAATTTCGTGCAGCATCTGAAGAAGCATAAATTCAACGAGGACGCACAGGCCGCGAAAAAAGGTACAACTGACGAAAACGACGAAATTATAGACGAAAGTATGGAAGTTACTTCTGAAGCTAACACTGAAGAATATGGTGATGTGTCTCCTAAGTTAACTCTAGCTGATCAACAAATGTTGGACATTATGCAAGAACGAAATTCTATAAGTCCTAAGGACAAAAATCTTCTCTGGTGTGAACATTGTCCTTATGTAGCATCGCGTAAAGATGCATTAGAAAATCACCAAAAAAGACACGAATGTGTCTCGGGTTTGAGAAGTGCTTACGCTTGCGAACATTGTGATTATACTGTGCCACAGGCTCACTATTTGAGAGACCATACAAAAATACACTTTCTACCAAATAAAACTCCATATAACCAAGTCAATGGTTATATGACATGTGATAACCTAAAGTTAACCTCAAAGAATTTAAAGGCCAGTGAGGATGAAAATGAAGAGATCATTTATGAAGATGTTTTAGAATTAAATAATGATGAAGAGGAGAAATTTAATAATAACAAAGGTGAAAAACGTTTAATAAATGTACAAACCGGGGACTTAGTTGTTAAGAAAGATGTTAGTGATTTAAAAGTAGAGGAAAATAATTTACAAATGGGAGTAAATTAGTCAAAACTTCTAGTGATCATAATTTATCCGTTAAATAACTTGAATTACTTAAAATAATATATTAATTAACAATGTTTGCCTTCTTAGTCATAGAATAGAGTATTTTTACAGAGTATTTTCACACGACGGTAGCACTTTTAGCATTATAACATTTGTAGTATTATTACCACTTTATGTTGTTTAGAGAAAAAAAAATACTTATATTTTAATTTTTCATAGAAATAATTATTGTTTTCTTTTAGATGGGGATTAATGCCAAAGCATTTAATGCCAAAATTTGCCATAATATTGTTGTTTATTGTTTACACAAATAAAAGATTTACGAAAACGTTTGTGTTTTTGTTCAAATATTTTCAGGAAGGTGTTCAAGCAAGTAGAGCCTTGATAAATAAAGTGGCCCTCAGAGAATCAATATTGCTACCAAGATTTTGAAAAAAAAATCATTAGAACTCATCATCTTATAGCCTATAGCCTATAGCCAGTCATAGGATAGGACTATTTGGTCAGCGTAGGTACTACCTACTCTACTGAGCATAGCCCACAAATCTCAAATGACACTCTGATAAGGTATTTGGAAAAAAATGAAATTAAAGAAGATTTCGTAGCATTCTTAGACTACTTTAATCAACTAGGAAGTTCAACAGAAATAAAAACGCCCTCAAAAAGTTCAGATACGGAACCGAACTAAAATTGACAGGAAAAGTATTGGCTGAACTTGTACTATTTTTACTAAAAAAATACGTATTTAACCTAAATTATTGTGTTGGCATATAGGTACTGATAGTCCCAGAGACGGCTGCAGAGAATCTGTCGTCATAAGGTGGACGAACGAAAATAATATGAATATTAGTTGAGGCACTAATTAAGAGAATACGCGAAGGTTGCCTGCGAAAATCCTGCCGAAACAGTGTTTTTCAATTTTTTTTATTAGATAAATAAAAACAGTAACTATCTTTTAGAGGTGGACATGAAATGAAATCACTATGTTGTAGGAGAGCGTGAGGCGAATTCAACCATATAAGGCTGCCTGCCCCCACCCTGCCGCAACACCCTTGCAGCCTGGCTAAAAAGATCGGTTTTTTATCAATAACTATCGTGATCAGGTGGACGCATAAATTAGGTCTCAAATTAAAGGTCTCGATCTCCTCTTTCCATCAAACTAAGGCTGCCTGCTCAAATCCTGCCGAAAGATGTGGTTGCCTCGTTTTCAAAGTTTCCGGTACGTGAGCCGCGCGCTAGGTATTTGCGGAGCGCGAGGTGTTTAGTGGCGAAAAAGTCGTCTACAAAACACCGAAACGAGTTTTTATTTTTGCTCCTTGTCACTTTGTGTTACTTCTCATATTTAAATTATTGATAAGGATCTATAAAACAACACGTCAGGATCTAAGACAACGCGCCGCGCGCGTGCTTTTTGCGAAGCCAGGCCTAGGAATTCCACCCTCTGGCCGCTACGGCTACCACCGCAAGTGCAGTATCTAGACGTAGAAGTCGTCGAGCTTTCATTTCCGATTATTTTTTTTCTTAAATAAACGTGATGATGGATTCTTTAAAATAATGAGAGTGGACTGTATTATTTATATATTTACATTTATTTACACACACGACTATTTACACTATTTACAATTTGCATTTTCTCGTTTTTGTTTACGTTTTTAGACTTATAGAGTCTGTAAAAATGGTCATATAGGACCTGCCCAGAATTATCTGGTGCGCTCGGTGAGGTTCGATTCGACACTGACTGTTCCCGTTGGTTCACTCGCGTAGATGCCGGAAGCCACTTTACCAAAAACTTTGACAAGTGATTTTTGACACGGTTTGACACATACGCGCACACTTCCGGTGCATACCGGGAAAATTAAAATTTGAATTTTAAATTTACTGTTGGAATATTGTTTCCAACATGCTCACGGCCAAGAAAGATTCTTAAAATTATTACAAATACTACAACATTGTAAACTTAAATTAAACGAGAGTAAAATATATGTGCATCGTTGCACAAAATAATTAAGCGATATAGCACTTATTAAATGGCTTATAGAGCCTCAAAAATTTGACCTATAGAGTCAAGTTATTACATATTTTATGAAACTAAGAAAATTACATTATAGGTACATAGATTATGGGTAGCTTATAGAGCTTAAAAATTTGACATGGGTAGCTTATAGAGCTTAAAGGCTTGACTTATAGAGTCAAATACTTCTAGATATTGCTAGAAATTATTCTACAAAAAATATTTAGTAATGGCGACTTGAAATTTGTATTTACAAAATGTACAAATATTATAAAAAGTATTAAGAACCTAAACTATCTGAGGCAACTTAAGATCTAGGTATCTACAAAAATGTACAATTTTATGGACAATAGTAAAAACCTTAAGTATCTAACTATATAAATATGTATAAATATGTATAAAATTGACATTGAGTCACAAGTCACTCGATGGGTAAGACGGCAATTTTTGTTACCGACCTTAAATAGTTACCTGTTCGTATTCGAACTTCAACGACTCGAACTTTGCCATCTTTCCCAGATATTGTTCTTGTGATTCTGGCAATCGGCCATTGAAGAGAGGGTACATTATCCTCCTTCAGCAAAACTAAAAGCCCTTCCCTTAGGTTAGGGACCGAGTGTTGCCACTTAGGCCTACTCTGAAGCTGCGCTAAATAATCTTTGTGCCACCGCTTCCAGAAGTGTTACTTCACCTGAGTAGCCATATTCCAAAATGACAACCTATTTTCCGGAATTTCAGTCACATCTTTTTCAGGAAAGCTTGTTATAGCTGAACCGGTTAAAAAATGATCTGGCGTCAAGTATTCTAAATCGAAAGGATCGTTTGTTAATTGAGTTAGTGGCCTAGAATTTAAAATTCCTTCCACTTGGACTACTAGAGTGTTTAATTGCTCGTAGGTCAATCTGCGCTCTCCCATTGTTCTCTTAAGGTGGTGCTTGGCACTCTTGACCCCGGCTTCCCAGAGACCCCCAAATACTGGCGGAATAAACCTAAAAACGATTCTTTCATTTGCAACAAAATGTATTATTTTATTTCTGCTTTCAGATTCGAAAACCCGGTTGAGTTCATCTAATTTGTTCTTTGCGCCTTTAAACGTTCCGCCATTGTCGCAAAAAACCTGTGAGGGTTTCCCTCTTCTAAATATAAATCTTTTGAAGGCCTCTCTAGGAAGTTATCGGTAGTCAAGTCCGACAAGACTTCCAGGTGTATTGCCTTAACTGAAAAGCATATAAAAAGCGCAATATAAGATTTAGTTATTATAGGTTTTCGAATTCTTGACTGTTTAGTATAAAAGGGTCCGCAAAAGTCAATACCAACATTTTGAAATACTCTTGCAGGGTTAACTCTATCGCGAGGTAACGAGCCCATAAGCTGTTGCGAACAACGAGCTTTACTTTTAAAACAAATCACGCATTTGTGAATATTTTTCTTGACTTCTCTGACACCATTTATTATCCAAAAATATTCATTAAGACTGCTCAAGACCTGTCTTTGTCCTGCGTGTAGTTCAGGATTATTTTTGAATCGTTTTTCGAGGTTTTCGAATCGTTTCAAAGCTAGCGAGAAAGAATCTCCTAGATTTAAATCCTCAATATTTCTTTTCAAAGGTAAGTACACTTCAAATTTATTATTTATTTTAGACACAGTATTTTTAAAAATGTTTTCGCAAGCTTCTTGCTCACTCTTTATATACTAAAGGTACTTTTTCTGTTTCCCAAAATTTTGAAATTAATTCTTCCATTTTAGGTTCATTATCAACAATACAATGAAATGAAGCTACAGCTAAACTGGACTGGATATTTTTCGAGTTGCTAGGTATGGAACCACTTACAACATAGCCCAGGTAAGTATTTTGCAAAATTAATCCATTTTTCCTCAAAAATATTTTTTCAGGTAACAAAATATCAAAAAATATATTCGCTTCCAAAAGAATTTGTATCGCATTTGGTTTATTGAATTCTAAATCAGAAAGTTTTATGTTTTTTGGAAAGTTACTAGAATTTTTACTAAATTCAAATTGTGGCAAAATGCCTGTTATCTCATCTACTATAGCGCAGGAGACATTTATTTTATAGTTTTGAACACAAGAATTAAGTGTTACGTGAATTGACTTTTTTACGTTCGTTGAATTATTCGAGACACCTATAATATTTAAATTGTTTGAAAACGTTTTATAACCTAGTTTATTAGCTAAATCTGTGACTATAAAAGACACTTGTGATCCGCTATCAATTAACCCACGAACAATCAAACACTCTCCATTACTAGTAAAAACCTTTACCTTTATTGTAGGCAGTAAAACCGAATCAAAATTTCCATCCGAGTAGCAATGTTTTGAATGTGCTGTTGCAGCACTGCTACAGGACTGGACTTGGTCCATATCTGTGTTAATATTATTTTTGTTTTCTTCTTTTCTAGATCTATCTAAGTGTAACAAAGAGTTATGATTTTTATGGCAATAATTACATTTGAAAGAATATTTACAAGTTCCATTATGGCTATTTAGACACATTTTGCATCTTTTACTTTTGTCAATAAAGGAAAATCTATCACCAACTGGTTTTGATTTAAAAAATACACAACTGTAAAGTTTGTGACCTGTGTTTTTGCAAAACGGACACTTATTATGGTTATTATTATAGTTTGAACTAGTACTTACATGGCTGTAATTTGCATTTTTATTATGGTGAGCTACTTTATTTTCAGGTAGAGCAACAGCTTCGAGAGCAGCAGCTCTATTTCCCAAATAAATAAGAAAATTATCCAATGTGGGCATCTGCAATTGATCCCTATCTATTTGATAAGCCCTATTCGTAAACTGATCGAGCTTTCTTGAAAGTATGCAAATTAAAAGAGCATCCCAAGCCTGCACTGGCTGTTTTAAATTTTTTAATGCACCGAGCTGTTGTCGTATTTTACTAATGAATTCCCTAATGCTATGGGAAGAACTTTTTTGAATGCTAGGAATATCTAGGAGAGCATAAATATGGGAGTTAACTAACAGTGACTCATTATTGTATCTTTTCTGCAATATTTTAAAAGCCTCATCGTAAGAGTCATTTACAATAGGAAGATTATTGATGAGAGCAAATGCTTCACCTTTTAAATAATTTCTTAAATAGTAAAGTTTTTCAACATCACTGAAACTTTTATTTTTATGAATAATTGCTATAAACATGTCTAAAAAAGGTTTAAATTCATTTAGGTTTTTTTTTTCCATCAAAGGTTGGAATTTCAATATGCGAAAGCTTGGCGGTTGATACATTATTATTTGCAGAATTCGAGGCAGAATTATTGTTAGATATAGCTAACTGT